TATATTACACATACAGCAACCTTATTATTTAACATCATATGTTATAGTATATAATGTTATGTTACACAGGTCCAAAACTTGTAATTTTCGACGAAAAGAGGCTTTAGGCATGATTTGAAAGTTTCCTACAGATTTTGATAATAGTTATATTATATTATAATTGTAAAGTTATATAGTACAATTTTGCAATATGAAGTCTATTGAATTATGTAAACAAAACATAAGAACGATACCTCCAATGATACCCTCTCTCAGGTAGTTTATAGGTTTAATGCTAACAATTTAATGCTTAATGGCAACAAGATTTGGCGACTAGTCCAAGCATAGAAATAAATGGAGAAAAGTTAGACCTTGTCAATAAAGCAGTCTTCTTGGGAATGACCTTAGATAGTAAACTTCAATGGTTTCCACATATACCTTCCCTGGCGAGCAGATTAAGCTCCGCTGCATACGCAGTCCGCAGAATACGTGAGCTTACCGATGTGAGTACTACTAGACTAGTTTACTTTAGTTACTTCCATAGTATAATGTCTTACGGGATTCTCATGTGGGGTAAAGCGGCAGATATTCAAACCATATTTGTATTGCAAAAACGAGCGATTCGTTCTGTGTACAGTCTAGGCTCTCGGGTTTCTCTCAGAGAAAAGTTTAAGGAGACTGGTGTCCTGACTGGTGACATGACATCATGATGATGAGCATCACAGTACATTTACTTAGATATTTTATATACCCGTTTTATATAAAATATACATAATTTCAACAATAAAGAACATATCCATAATATTAACCTTAGAGATAAGTCCAAACTCATAGTACCACGATTTCGTTTAACCAAGGTAACCAACTATTTTATGGGGAACTGTATACGTTTTTACAATAAGATTCCGGAGCATATATTAAGATTATCATTTCATAAGTTTAAAAACTACATTAAAATTATTTTGATTGAAAAATCATATTACAAAATTGAAGACTACGTGTTAGATAAAGATGTATGGAAAGACGACAAGGCTCCAGAATCCACACAAATTTGATTCAAAGTGTATTCCATAGCATTTAAGTTTATTTCAAAAGAGCAATCCCTAGAGTTTCTTGCTCGTTCTTCCCAGGGAAGTCAGTGAAGTGAACGAGCAGTAGCTTAAATGTGACGTTTTTAAGTGTAAATTTACTTGACCTATGGAATAAATGATCTTTGACTTTGACAATGAACACTAGGCCAACTTTATTGTTTGGTTATTTTCTGTTATTTTTGTAAACAGGCATATTTATTTACTAATATTATGCTCCTCGAATTTTGTGAAAAAAATTCGAAAAAAAAAACCAATTTTGTGAAAAAAGTAAAGAAACAAAATAAAAACAGAACAGGTCAAAAAATTAAGCTGGCGTAGTGTTTATTGGAGGTATCGAGAAAGTAAACAAAAGAGTTACCTTGAATCAGTGCTGTAGTCAGTGTTGGTTTCACTTTGTTGAAGTTCCTTCAAAGCTTCCTCTCTATGTGTGAGTGGCGCCGGTGCACTAATACCACTTAAATGTGTTCTGTAACCTTTTAGACTCACTTCCTCCTGGAATATATTATTATAATGTTACAGTTACATAATATAATAAGGTAAGTAGACAGATTGCATAGTAAGCAACCAAAAAAATAATGAAACCATGTCGCAAGCAATTAAGATATGATTATGAATATCATGAGACAAGTAGTGTAACTCTCCATAAACGTACAGCACACGGTTTGTACGAGGGCTGTTCCAAAAACAGTTAACCACAGTGTAAACATAATCTCTGTTTTATAAAACTATTTTAAATTGATGGCCAATTTCAATACAAAAATCCTTGGTGAAAACCATTGGCCAACTATGTTCTCTTTTTTAAATATTTTTAAAATGATGTTTCACTCTTCTTTTGTTTGTAACAATGAAACGCCATGCGTGCTATGATTTTCTACGATTATAAACGAGGATTAACCTTCAAGGAATCTCACGACAATTTACAAGCTGCTTTTGGGGAGTCTGCTCCTACATTAGCAACAGTTACTTATTGGTTTTGAGAGTTTAAACGTGGTTAAGAGAATCTAAACGATGACCCGGTCGACCACCAATTACAGTAATTCATGAAAACGTCATCAGGATATAGTGGCTATTGCGTGAGATTTATTACACATTGGGAGATTCAGGCTGTACTGAAGATTGCATCACAGGCAGTTTCCATCATCCTGTATGAACACCTTAAACTTAGGAAGGTTGCTTCGCGAAGGATACCTCATTCTCTCACCCAAGAGCAAAAATCCCGTCGTGTTGATTGGTGTAAATTTATGCTACACTGTTTGTTTTTTTTCTTGTATAATGTATTGGAACAGACTATGTAATGTACATTGTACTAAATTATATAAGTACCTAAACAAGTTACGTCAAATTACCTTAGTTGTAGCATGCATTTCATCCTTAATATGAGCCGAACCAAACTCCTGTTTCAAAGTGGCTTTAGTTGATGCATATAACATTTTTTGCCTGACCGCTGCGCTGTCTGGTGACCAACTGAGCAGCAGCCATTCGTGACCGAGAGAGTTCTTGGAATCTAACCTGAAATTGGAAAGTGTATTTTTGTTAATTATATTTACATATTATTTGAAAGCGCTATTAATAATAGTTAACCTATATATAGTCCCACTGCTGGGCACAGGCCTCCGCTCACAATGAGCAAGCTTGGACTAAAGTTCCCACGGCGTCCCAGTGCGGATTGGGAACTTCACAGACATCATTAAATTGCTTTGCAGATGTGTGCAAGTTTCCTTCACAGTGAATGTAAATACAAGTGTAGGTTTTAGGCTGCCTTTCCACCAGAGATGTGCGAGGCGGTGCGAGGATGTGTAGCAGAATTGTGAAACGGTGTGATGTTTTCTACCAAAGCTGTGCGAGGATGCGTTACGAATTATTTTCAGATATGCGCGGGCGGAGTACGGTGTGGTGGGGTGAGCGGTGGCGATATGTCAGTGTCAGTTAGTGTCATACTTTCAGTAGCTCTAGTTTTCTAGCACGTTTTGCACACATTCCTGGCCCGCATCCCTCGCACACAACTCTCGCACACATTTCTCGCTATTTTGTATGTACAAATACTTAGCTCAGCTAACCCTTTTCCACCGGAGCTGCGCTAAGCGAAGCTAGGAAAATGAATTAATTGTATTGGTGCATTTTTCTTGCACACCGCCTGGCTATGTCGCACATCTCTGGTGGAAAGGCCTTATAACGAAGCAATAAAAACGCAGCCGCTAACACTTTGATTGTATAGTATATGGTGTGCCTACGCAGTTTTAATCAAAGGTATGTACTGTTATGGTTTTAACTGCCTCCGTGGCCGAACGGTTACCATGCCGGACTGCCACGCAGAGGTCCCAGGTTCGATTCCCGGGCCGAGAGAAATAGTTGTATGGCCTACAATTATTTCTCTCGTGAGTTTGGGTGTAATTTGTGGTTGTCAATGTGTGTGTCCATGGCACCCGCGACACAGGGTTTCCCTAGTGCGGGGCTATGTTGAGTGTGTGTGCGTTATAAATAGGAGAACATTTTAGTGCTCGCGAGCACACGTTTTCCGAGGTTTGTGAACTTTGTTCGATGTGCAGTTTCATCACGACGTTTTGCTTCGCCGAAAAGCTCAGCGTAAATTTCAAATTAAATTTAGATAAATTCCGAGAAACTCAGGTGCAAGCCCGGATTCGAATGTACGACCCTCTGTTTGAGAGGAGGTATGTCAAACCGTTAGGCTACCATGGGTCTTATATTATACCTTAGTATTTTTTAAGGCAGTCATATAAATACTTAGTTTGAACGTAAAAATAGCGTATTCGATATGTTAACGTTCTATAATTTCGTATCGTTCGTTAATTATTTAATATGTTTATTAATAACAATCTTGAAGATAACGAGTACAGTTGATTTGAACAAGTCATGAGTATAGGACTTAGGCGCATTTACACGAAGTCATCAGGCGATCTTCGCTTGTCCGCCGAAAGCGGCAAGCTACCCGGTGTAAATAGTGAGTCGTCTGGCGACGGTAGTTAGCAGCTGAAGTCGCCCAATGCGACTGGGCGCGTCGCCTTCGTGTCTCTCACGCTATCGCGAGATGTTAACAACTCAATTTTGGCCTAGCATTGATGACATGGATATCACTGACATGTGGTTTCAACAAGACGGTGCCACATGTCACACAGCCAATGAGACGATCAATTTATTGCAAACCAAATTTGCTGATCGCGTAATTTCCCGAAATTCAGCTGTTTTTTGTTTTATTTTGTTTTAGAAAACAAAGTTCTTGTTGAAAGACCCTTTATGACAATACAATTAAATACACATGAATTATAGAAAACTAGTCTCCCTGTATCCATATTTTTGAAATTTAAATTAAGTTATGAAGCTAAATAATCTCAATTATATTGAACAACGTTTATAACTGAACAACACTTTATTGATAAATTATACCTGAAACTGTCAAAGTGAGAAATATTATTAAAATACTCAGCGTAACACATATGCCCTTTGCCAGTAGATATTTGATCATATTTATCATTTCCATTTCCCAAATATCATAGGCACAAAGCTCAATGACTTTTGTCATGTAAGTAGGCTGTTTGTAACCTTTATGTAAGGTTTTTGTTCCATGATTTTTTTAAAACTTTGGTATTCATACATTTGAACTCCAGAAGCCTTTGTTGCCTGCTTGCAAGTTGTTGTATTCTAATTCAATTATGACAAACAAATGTACGATGTGCTTTGATGTGCGATGGTTTACTAAGTGTATAGTGGTGACATCATAGAAAAACTATTATAAAAAATATGGTGTGGTTCGACGTCAGACGTCGCCATATATAGTATTTTACTTTTTGTTCAAAATGGATTGAAACAAAGTATAGTAAGATATTGTTCACAAGGCGCAACCCCATCATACTTCAGTTCTGAGTTCTAAATCTCCACATCAATTAGTTGTCGCATGAAATTAGTGAAAAACCTGTCGAGTACCTGTACAATATGTAGCAAGGCTGATCTTCAATGATAAGTTGGGGCATATATCTTTCGAAGTCTTGTTCCCAATTTCCATTTGTAGGTATTTCTTTTGCCATTGTCAGTTGCTCTGGAATTGATTAACATGACAAATTATAAACATATACATTAACTCAGAAATGAACTAGGGCGTGAGCTTATGTATGTAATAGGAGGTAATTTTGTTGTTTATTCTCCATTGGCGCTTGAAGCAAATGTTCACTTATGAATACTTATATTATTAAAAGACACGGTCATCGCCAGATTAATTCAATGCAATCATCAATCCATTTGTGTGGGACTCTCAAGCGAGAGTTTAGGCCATAATCCGCCAAATTTGCCCAATGCGGGTAGGTGACTTTACACGGTTTCCGAGGATTATGAACCTTTTTCGACGTGTAGGTTTCATCAAGATGTTTTCCTTCACCAACAAGTTCATTCTAAATTTTAAATAAAATTTCGGACATAAGCCCCGAAAAACTCGAAGAGTTTTGCGAGCCCGGTTTGAAACCCACAGCCTCCGCTTGAGAGGCGGTAGGTTAAACCATTAGGCTACCACAACTATTTCAATGCAATAGTTCAGTTTATAGAGATAAGGTTATTTTTTACAGATCGTTTTGACACGTCTTGAGATTTTTCCTCTGTTCCCATATTTATCTTCAAATTGCATGAAATTCAACAAAGAAAAAAAAATTAATAGCATCATCAAAACGAAAGTCACAGGAACAATTGCACATCCTCTACATGGCATAGATCATAACCATGATGATCTTTTTCATAATTAATAATATACCTTCTTCAATGCTGACTTTGAGAACACGGATCTCTCCATCTCTGCATTTGCTAAAGTGTTTCTTCAATTCTGCGTTGGCTGAAATAAAAAAAAAGGTATTTAATGGGATTATGAGTGTCGCCATTATGGAAGAAAGACATAAGTGGGTATAAGCTATATTTGCTGCAGAAAAGTGATCAAAAGGATGCTCAATTGGTGATCTCATATTGGAGAGGAACAATGAGCAAATAGTCTGTTACAAAATATATGGAGGTAGACATTGGTTTAAGAGACTGGCTGAAAAATTCCAACATTACTAAAATCCAAAACCTTCTGTAGGTTTTGGATTGCCTACATTCAACATTGGACTGCAAGGGAGGAACTATTATCAAACTTGTGTTGACTATGTACTCCTGTGCATGTGGTGTTAATACCGTTGACTGACATATTCTACTTAATTAAACTTTTTATAATAGTTATAAAACTATCAATGCTATATTTCTTTTTTAATCAAGATTGAATAAGTCCAATAACATGGCAGTTGTTCGACGTTAGGTAGAGATCTTTTGAAGGCTTATGAATTCATATTGATATGACAACATTATAAAGTCACCTATATAAATAGCTTTATAGGTAATTAAGTTCGACTGACCGACGAAATGTTATTATTATTTAACGTTTTGCAAACACTTGGTATAACCCAAAAGCAAATAATAATAATAACGCGCACACATTCATAGCCCCGCACTAGGGAAACCGTGTATCGCGGGTGCCATGGACCCACATATAGACAACCAAACTCACGAGAGAAATAAAGTAAATGTAGGCCATACAAATATTGCTCCGGCCCGAGATCTCTGCTTGGTAGTCCAGCAAAGTAACCGTTCGGCCACAGAGGCAGTTAAAACTAATAAAACACTAATGGGTGCAAATTAATGAATCATATTGTCAGATATTAATAATAATAATAATAATAATAATTTCTGTATGGTTTTTGCAGCCATTGTGTGCTGATATGGCATTGACTGTGCATTGATGCTATAGACTGGGGTGCTGCAGATGTCTGCATCTGCATATTTTTAAATATCTGCTTCCGCATCCGCCATCCGGATCAATCGATGCAGATTTCTGCAGATATGGATGTTTTGTAAGTTACGACAAGATTGTCGGGAGCGTGCCTTACGTAAAACGCGAGTACTAGTGCTAATTAGCCAATCTGGGATCGAGAGTCCGGCAGCGAATGCTGCAGGCAACGATCTGTTTGTTGTCCAAACAAATTATAATACTAATTAATTAATTTTTTATTGAATTGATGTACAATTCTTTTTTTGTGAAATTACTCCACTAGTTTGTTATAATTATTAATACAAACATCGAATACTCAGAAAAAATTCCTTCGATCCGGTCGGATTCATTCATAGATTTCTCACAGATGGCGCTACGACTAAAAAGTCGTTGAAAAACCAAATACAAAGACACGACGCAAGCACATAGAAAAATTCGTGAGGTCCGTTGGTTCGAATCCGACCGGATCGAAGGAATTATTTCTGAGTGTTCGATCTTTGTATTAATAATTATAACAAACTAGTGGAGTAATTTCACAAAAACGAATTGAATATCAATTCAATAAAAATTTAATTAATACAGTGAATAGCGACATCTCTCGCCAGGACTGGTAGCTGTAAAGGTACTAACTGGGTGATAAATCTTTCATAGACTTCTCTTAGATGGTGCTACGACTAAAAATTCGTTGAAAAACCAAATACAAAGACACGACGCAAGCACAAAGAAAAATTCGTGAGGTCCGTTGGTTAGTTCCGTAGCTTATTTGGTATAGCGTCTGACACGGTATGCAAGAAGACGTCGGTTCGAATCCGACCGGACCGAAGGAATTTTTTCTGAGTGTTCGATCTTTATATTAATAATTATTGAGTTTATATTGACTTACGCTATTACGGAATTATTAAACAAACTTGTTTAATACGAAAATAAATTGACAATGATTTTCACCAAAGTTGATTGATTTTCCTAGGTTTAAGTGTAACGATGCCGCCATCTTCTAAAAGTGTTATTTGGAACTTTTTCAGTCAAGATAGCCCAGAAGGTGCTATATGTAATGTTTGTGACAAAATCTATTCATAAAGAAAGGACGACGACGTTTTTACGAAACCACTCGAGACTGGTGCATTTAGAGGATTATATGTTGTGAAGAATGCGGCGAAAACCAAAGCTAAATAACATTAAATTTGAAATCTTTATTAAAATATGTAGATGTATTTGTTAATGTAACATGTTTCCCTTGTTAGATGTACAATGACTATGACAATGACTATTCTATCCACGTGAATAGATTCAGTATATTGAAGATATTGTTTGTATATATTGGTAATTACATAGCACTTCCCAGCTAACTTAGTCAGTACCTTCTCCAGATTGCTTACTTAATTTATGACTCATTGCAAAAGCTATATAAATATCTTTAATATCCATGACTATGTTTTTTCTAATAATATTATGTAAATTTGTTATATCTTCTGTTAAAGCTAATTCAAATACCACCAAACTTTATTAATATTTATTATTATTAAAAACTATTTTTTTTCACCCATATGATACAATCCACTCCTGCAGAAAGAACAATGGCAAAATCATAGTTAAAAGAATTCTTGAAATGTCTTAATTACAAGATTGAATAAAATAAATTCATTAGGGTTTTCAAATTATCAAATTTCAAAATATTCAATTACGTAACACATAACCCCCAAAACTTCAAACTGGAATATGTTTAATTCCTGATTTCTCAGATTAGTAAACCCAAAACAAAATTTGTTTAGGAATTTTACTATGGATTTTCATAGTTTTCATAAACCGTTGCATACAATTATGTCAACAAAAATTTATATGGGAGTTTGACATTGTCCTTTGCATCCACATCTGCAATTGCATTTGTCCACATCTGTGACATCCCCATTATAGACAGTGACAGTCTATATGTGAGTCTAAGTTTTTTGTATATACTATTTGGTAAATGCTCGCATCCAACCAAGCCGTGCTATCAAAATCATATTTGCAAATATTATGATTTCATTGGCTTTGCTGTTGCCATTAGTAAATAAATATTGTTAGAAATGGAACATTTTCTCTGAAGTAAATCGTGTTTTTTTGTTCTTTCTAAAAAAAAGCAACATTTCGGACTCTTTACATGTCTCATGGTGGTCACAGTTGAGTGATGGAATGCTGATTTGTTTAAAACACAAACAAATATATATGTGACTTAGATCTGAAAAATAATTGTTTTTTATTTCCAATATGTAGCAATCGCGAAAGCTTAAGAAGACAATAAATATTGTTAGGTAATAAAAATAAATAGTACCCAAAAAAAAAAATTTATTAGGTAATATTTAGACGTGTAGTTGTCACAATATAATTTTAATTAGTAATAAAATACATAGAACTACCTGGCCAATGTCAGTTCTGAAATAAGTTTAAAATTAAATAACAAGCTGCATTACTAGTGAAGTAATTTAGGGAAACACTTTAAAACTACAGAAATGTGAATCATTGCTTCTATTTTTGTAAGGTCAGTGTTTTAGACTAGTACAAGCAGCTCTGACGCCAGCCACCCACCAAAGTCATAAAAATCAACTTACGGAGGAATGATTATACTTTACTAGCTAAATTCCAATAATAAATGCGGAATTATAAATCCAATATCACCTAAATTGTGTATAGTCTTTCCAATTTTTCGTAGAAATTAACTGTAAATTTGAGATTCACTTACCTTGTATTCCCGTTTGATGAGACATTTTTTAAAACGTGAATAGCTAGACTATAAAAATTGCGCAACAACTATTACTATTAATAACTATTATAACACGCCTTATTTAGTCACAGAAGTACAAATTATGTAGAATTTCGTGAAGAATACGATAAAAACCGACAGCAAACAGCTGCCGCCGTCATTCATGCATACAACGAGCTGTCAATGTCAAAGAGTACCTTGTCAAACCAATTGTTTTTTAAAATTTTTACCCTTTCATTGAGCAGAGAGCCATACAGCCTAATGTCAAACCAAAGGCTTTTTCTTATTGTATCCACAGATAAGAAAGTATTACTATTAAACATTACTATTATATAAAAAAAATCTTTAATGGTTGTAAATACCGGTAATCGCAGTCATGCTACACCTTTACGAAATTTAGTAGCAATAGAGCTCCTTATGAAAGAAGACCAGGAAAGTACTGCCACCTTACCTATTTCTGCCGCCGAGCAGTGAGCATTACTACGTTTCGGTTTTGAAGGGTAAGACTGGTGAAATTACAAGCACATGGGACTTGTCAACTTATGGCTCTGGGTGACAGGCGCAGTGGCAATGCCCCTCAGATCTTTGTGATTTAAAGCTTTGAATGGTTTTGCAACTTGCTTTGCAATAAAACACTAGAAATTATACTCAAATCCTTACCATTAGGGTCGTATTTCCATTAAGGTACCTAACCACAGAGTTTCAAATTACTTTGAGTACAAACACAGCTTACTCTATATTGCTTTTATTATAGACAAGCTCATTGCCACTGAAACATTGAAACATTGATTGAAAGTGGCTAGTTATATACTTAGCGATGCATTCTGCTTTCGTATAAAGGGTTTTTGAATTTTATTTTATGTACCTACTTTATTGTGTTTTGAATAAATAGATTAAGAAAAAATCCACGTGCTTGGATTATTCTACAAACCTTCTGAACCTATGGTATTGCTACAATTCGACATCGTAACACCTATTATTTGATTTTTAATTCGGGACTTAATCACGTATAAATAATGACGTAAGGATGTCATTATTTATATGTGATTAAGTGAAAGGAATAACGGACAAAATCGATACCTACAGTAGGTACTAAAAAGTACTCAATAAAAACTGTGTTTACGCCGTTATGTAAGGTGACGGGGCATGTCAGATCACCTATGGATGTAATCCCCTTTCAATCTCCGGGCGTTTACAAGATTGATTGCAGTTGTGGGAGTTCCTATATTGGGCAGACAAAACGCACCACAGCGGAAAGAGTTAAAGAACACATCGCGGCTGTTAAGAGCCGTCAGCTTAACAAGTCTGCAATAGCCGAGCATTTGCTAGAATCAGGACCAAACCACTGGTTTGCGCTTCATAATCCCAAGATCCTTTCTACAGAATGTCATTACTATAGTAGAATCGTACGTGAAGCTATTGAAATTAAAAAACACCGTGATTCATGGGATCCAGTTATCAGCAAATGTAAACGACATCAAGTATCACCCGACCCGTCGTGTGTGTTATGTGTCGATCTAGTGAGAATCCTAGTGCACTAAATAATGAAGTTTAGTGCTGGTAGTTAGTAAAACTCGCACGGCTAGAAGATGCTGACACCCTCCTTTTCAGTCCCTTCGAGACCATACACGTTGCAATATGTCCGAAACATCGAGATAATTAAAATATGTTTTATACGTGATTAAGTTCCGAATTAAAAATCAAATAATATGTGAAAATCGTGAAAGTTTAAATCAAAGCATCGTAGCGCCTATTTTGCGGGTGGTAGCCTTAGATCTATGTCTTTTACCTAGGTTTTAGGGGTATAATGAGTCTTTCGTGGATTTTTTATGATACCAAGTGCCGTATGAACAAGTCGTGCCGGGCGGTGGTAAGCGACACGCGTGTCCATAACAATTGCAAAACTATTCAAAGCTTTAAATCACAAAGATATGAGGGGCTCTGCCACTGCGCCAGTCACCCTGAGCCATACGTTGGCAAGTCCCATGTGCTTGTAATTTCAACAGTTTTACCCTTCATAACCGAAACGCACTAATGCTCACTGCTCGGCGGCAGAAATAGGTAAGGTGGCAGTAATTACCTGGTGTTCTTTCACTTCTCTCTCTATTGCTGTTAAATTTCGTAAAGGTATGAGCATGACAATCGCCTCGTTCGTCGCAATAACGTAACAGGATGTTGGAGAGGCCACCTTCTTGACTTCATTAGGTTTTTTACCTGTCGTTTTACGAAATTATAAACGGAATTCGTTTATATGGCGTACGAGTAATAATTTTAACAAAGTTTCTGCTCTTTATGATTTTGATTTGTTTAACACAAACTGTGCGTACGTTAGAAGGTATTATCTAATTAATGTTTTTATTACTAATCTAATTAGCGTAATATTACATTACTTTTTTCATGTGTCATGTGTGTGTGTATAATGTCGTTTAGTTGTTTAGTGTTGTCAATGCTGTATTTTGCTATTGTTGCTTTATCAGTAGGGAACTGTTTTTGCTTATAATTATTTAATATAGTTCCTATTACATTGTGATACAAGCTGATTGTAACCTCAAAAATAAAATAAAGAAATTTTTCTGTGGCATTTGATTCAATTGGTATACTCCTCCTTTTAATAGGTAGGTACCTTTTTTCCTAAGTGACAGGTCACAATGTAGATATCCAAATTAATCTAAGAGAGCAACTAATATAGGAGTCCTCCAAACGAATTATTCAGCGCGAATAGAACACTTGCATTAGTTTCTATTACAAAGCTCCCCACGTACACACAACGCCAAAACTTAACCACGAAGGTTTATTAAATATGTAATCGAGAAGGACCCTTCACATAGCAGCTTTGATACACGCGATCGTAGGTTCAAGCAACCTAGTTACTTGTATAATCCAACAAGTTGGAATGGTCGACATACAACAAGGTGGATAAAATATGTGTTACACTTGTCATACCCTATCCCCCCAAGGCCCCGTGTACATCAAAATGTAACATAATATGTGAAGTGATTCTGACCCAAACAATATTATGCCTGTGAATACGTAAACGCCCAGTCTACATCATAATGAAAATACCACATTCAAATTTAACTTTCTATATTATTATGTTCTATATGACCATAAAGTGTCCAGAAAAATACGTTTTTTATATAAAAGTGAGGCGCAATATTTATTACATTTTAATGCAACCTTGGGTGTTTAACGCTCCTCCCGTTGTAGTTTGTTGGGTTTTAAGAGGCTATCATAAAACCAAAGCTTTGAGGGAGTGCTCCGCTACCAGTAAATATTATTAAATAATCTCTCACCTTCTCTCTTAGTTCCATTGTTGAACTACTAAAACTGGCCGGCGGACGGACTTAGACTAAAGTTATACTTTAGGCCTTTTTTATAACACCAAGTGACGGGACGAACAAGTCGTGACCTTTTCATGGTAGCAACACATTATTCACATTAGTTATATCATGGACCAATAACTCACGAGGACTGCTAATCGAAGGCTCAACTCATACTGGCGCACAGTCGAAGCTTCGCGACGTGTCATGTTTTTCGCCTATAGCATATTCACCTCTATTTTCCCATTACTAAATAAATAAATAAATAAAAATCTTTTATTTGCAGACACCATAGGTCCATAGTTTGTTAGTAAGCAACCTTATACTATATTAGTAACAATCATTTGTTACTATATAAAATTTTTTAAATCGAAATGTCAAAATATTCAAAATACATAATACAAAAGTCACTGAAATAATAATGATAATTTAGTCGAAAGTAAAAATTTAAAATAATAAAATTTACAATTAATAAAATAACAATTAAAATTCAAATTAGCTAATATAATAATAATTAACATGCACAAAACTAAAATTTTTGAAATCACATGTCATAGAGAAATTCATTACATTACAACTACTATTACAATTACTACTACTTACTTAGTCACTATTTTTGTGTGCGAGATGCATCTGTCTACACAATGTGCTATGATCAGGGAATCATGTCGCTCTGCTATTACCCTTAGGATGGAATTGGAACTACCCCGTAGTCTGCAGAGCAGCGAGGCCGTTTTCTTTCGCATGATGGCATTAAAATCATCTATATTAGCCTGCGCAAACATGCCCGACGCGCTGCAGAATCGGGGCAGCCCCAGCAACACACTAAAGGCGTTGTTGTACTGAATCAGCGCGCCGAGGGTCCGCTGCGTGTGGCTGATCCACAGGGCGCACGTGTAGAACACCTGACAGCAGGCTCTAAACAATGTTAGTTTTACAGGGACACTACAGCGCGCAAATCTGCGGGCCACATATTACAGCGGACCGTCAGCGCCCTGCGTTCCCTCTCAATGTCTACCTCGTCCTTAAGGTCATCAGTTACAAAATGCCCGAGATATTTAAATTGGTTAACCCGCTTAAGCACCGTTGAGTGTAATTTTGGGTACATGAGATGGACACTTACCACGGGCGGCCCTAAACACCAGAAACTCGCTTTTTTAACGTTATACAGGAGACCATATGGAAGTGCATAACGTTCACAAACCTGTAGTAAACTTCTAAGCGCTCTAA